CAATTCAACATAGCAAATCCGATAAGTATATAATCGATTTTCTGTCTTGGATTTTGCGAATGTGTGTGTAGGTTGTCGACAGAACCAGAAGTATGAATAAACTGAGGTTTAGTTTCACACAAGATGACTTTGACTTAATAAACCAATCAAAACCTACTGTACAACAACGAGACCAGATAGGCAGAAAAACTCACCGTAAACAAGCAAATGTGGCTGTTGTGCGCTCGAACTCCTTGGCTTTAGTTAGTCCCAGTTGGATCACCTGCCATGGCAAGAATTAATGTACCAATAAAGGAAAACATGAGCACCAATTGATCCTAACGACCGTTAAATAAATATTTTGTTTCCATTCTTACTATAAACACTTCCGCAAACTGAGAAGTAGAGAGAAGGAAAATATTTTCATATAAATGCTTCCTATAACGCTTATTCAGTAGCTCCAATGCAGCTGAATCGAAATGATTCGAGTTACCGTGATTGGATTTGATACATCACTCTCGATGTGGGAAACGCTCATTGCGGGTTTTTGCCCTATTCCCTCAGGGAAAAGCAATCCATGATCTCACACCGAGAAATGTTCACAAAGAGTAGATCCCTCTAACCATCTGATAGGGAAGTCACACCGCCTGGTATCCTGAGTCGAGTGTTTTCCCGAAAGTGGTGAAACGGAAACCCAACAGTTTGGAGCTGTGACCAGGTTCATAAACTGCGGAGATAATTAAATTACATTGGGGCATTCCCAATCGTAGACCAGTCTCGGTGAAGTTGGGCTTTTATTACTAGTAGTCCGTGTGCTGGTATTGACACAGTATCTGCATGAACATGGTCAGGAGATCAAATATGTGGACCAGTACCTCAACACGGTAGACCTGATCAACATTCGTCCCCAGGGAAACTTTTCTATTACGTTGTCTAGCTGAATAAATTTTTCATGAATTTTATCGATATTAGTTTCACCTTTCGCCCTCAGAAGATGGATATAGAAAATTTCTTAGAACACATCAGTGAAAGTTATCACGTCCATCATTTTGTACATCTTTCATCTTAATCCATTTTATATTCACTTTCTAGCCTTCTAAAATCACATTCTAATATACGTACTTTAACGCTCCTTATGAGTAATCAATATGTTATTCCCATTTTTCTTAGAGGGGGAGTTCCTGTCGATTAGGTCGGTAGAACTGAACGACAGTCCCCCCCCTCCCCCAGGGAAAATTCGCAATATAATGATTACTGATAATTAAAATGATCGAGCTGACATACCAATTTTATAACAGAATGCGGGAAATTGATTATAAAAAATGTATTGGAGTAAAAAATATATCAAAAGTATAAATATGCATCCTAGTCGATCGGATAGCGCTCACTGATGTGTTGAAAAAAAGTTTTTATGTCCATTTCAATGTTTGAGAGAGAGAGAAATGAAACCAGTAGCAGTACTGAACTTCATCCAAGTGTCCCCACCTCCGGTCACCAATGGAGCCGGAAGCTGCTTTCATTCCTCTCTTTATCCTACTCCAAAAGCTTTCCACGTTTTTCGTGTGGACACCTGTCGCTTGGTTGATGAATCCTCGGGAATGGTTCACCATTAAGTGAGTGTATCCCAAGGACGACAGTGTTCTATAGGTGGCCCATTCATCGGAGTAAATGATGGATCCCGGCATAATCCATCGTTGGATTATCGGCAAAAGGGAGCTTGCCGATCGGTTGTCCACCTTTTCGAAGTATCCCTTCCCTTCGAAACGGTCATACATACCGAAAACCCAAACAGTTTCCGATGGTCTTCCGCGTCCATATTTGCATTTGTTCAAAACAGTTTCGTCAATTTCGACGATCTTGGATGGACCACCGAGCTGTTGATTGAGTGAAAGCAGTTTCTGGGACCATATTTCACGGCAGAACGCGTACCACTGTATCGTTGACTTTTGGGACAAACAACACATGCTACTGGCAAGCACGACGGGAATTTCCAGCACAAAATATGCTATTAACTCGACCAGCAGGCACAATGATATCTTCGAATTTTCAAAAAATGTTCCTTTAGGAAGAGAAATAGTTTTCTTACATCTATGTAGTGATCAACGAATTCCCATTCTACGTGTACCCTTCCTCTTGTGCACCTTATTGTTTTACCACGCCAAGGCCACCTCTTTGGTCAGCACGCGTTTCCTGTCACTTCTCGCACGCTTGCTCACGCCTCTGTNCTCGTTCTCTCCTCGTACGAACGTGCGTCTGCAACCTATACGTATAAGCCCGGGTTACCGATAACGTAGTACCTACATCTACAGCAGCGAAACACAAATCCGTCCAGGGCCTTACTATTTTTCTGGATATTCATAGGGTGACCGCAAACACAGTCACGCTTTTTAGGTAACATATTTCGATCTTGTAGATACTCAACACAGCAGCCTCCTTCAATTTGGGATAAAAATGACCGCATCCATGAACGGTGAGACATATTTAGCGCACAAAAATGATCGACCATACAGACAAATTAAGCAGATTAGATTAAATGTTAACACATGCACCTTTTACATTTTCGTATTGTATATTTCACGAGAAACGTTTTCATGTAAAATTTATTCACCTAAACAACGTAATAAAAATGTTTACCATTAGGACTGGTAATTAAGGAGATTACCAGAATTTTCCCTGGGGGAGGGGGGGACTACCGTTCAGTTCTACCATCAGGTCTACTCTCAACACCACCATACGACGTTACAATATCGCTGATCGGCGGCTTGATCACCCGTTTCGCGGATCTTTATACGATGTGCGTGATATTTAATGAAAAGCTGAACGTTTTACGAAAAAAGCACATCGGACGTGAGAAAACCAAATGTGTCTGAACAGTGAATGACGATAACAATTCCAGGTGAAAAAGGGAATGCCGCGACCCGGGATCGAACCGGGGACATTTAGATCTTCAGTCTAACGCTCTCCCTGCTGAGCTATCGCGGCACGGCGCCAACATTTCGGAAAGTTTACTGGAAGTAACACCCACCAACAATGTGAAAGCATATAGAACCGGGGATCCTAATGTAACAGCTTGGGCATATAGAATTTCTACATTGACGATTCCCCCTCTGAGTAACCTCTGACAGCTTTTAGGGAAACGGGTAACGCTGATTTTAGAATAACTACCCACCATACTTCGTCACGTACAATCCAGCCGGTCAGGCATTCCTGAGTGTACGGTTGACTAGGTACACTGACGACGGTGTGTGAAAGTGAAAGGTGACCAATCCCAATCTGGATTCATATGCTTCTGTTGGAAAGTTTGATCATTGAAACGGGTTAAATGTTAGATATTACTTATGAGTAGTCAGTTCATAAGTGCATAAAAGACAAATGAATCATGTTGGTTTCACTGTAAATCAGGCACGGAGAATGATCCCCATCGGTGGTCGTTGATAGGAGACGCATAACAGTATTCTTCAATTCACCAAAAAACGAAAGTATCGATAAGTAATATAATTCGATAGTAAAATCGCCTTGATAAAGGTTAGCCACGGTAACCGAAACGTCGGCTTATTTTCAACTGTACCGACATCGCTGTTTTCAAAATTACAACTTATATAGAACATACCACATGGCGCATCGATTTTTCCATAGACGCCGAACGACATTAATTAATTATATTATTAATTATATTTATAATATAATTAAATGTTTATTTCAAACGTGAACTTTACTTCCTACATCTCGGTAAAACAGCAGAGGGCCTCCCGCTGACCGTACGCAGAAACTTCTATTTAATTCCAGCAGTACATAATTGAAGGTAAGTTTAACCCTATGACCTGAATGAGCTACCCAGTCTGAGCACGATCAAGCCCCTCGAAAAAAAGAAGAGGAGAAAAATGGTTAGCACTGCAGGTTCTGAGACAAAGCTGATACTGGGCGACTCTCCGTGGTGTTGTAACATGGTAGATAAATGCGATTGGTCAGTGATAGGGGCACCGCTCCCTGCTTCATTTCATCTACTCAGCAAGAATTTTCAGGTGAAAGAACGAAAGCTCTAATCACCGGTTTGTCTGGAACAACTCCGATGCCTTTCACTTTATATTTGTATGTCTAAAGGCTAGAGATGCAACCTCGGACAAAAAGACTCAACGGTGTTGGGGTACCGCCAGTAATTATATTCCCGACAAGAGGGCTTATGCTCTTAGCAAGAGATAGTCGTGCCAAAGTAAGGGTAATTCAGAACTACGCTTTCATGCAAGTGGTAATGAGACAGGAAGAGAGTGAGTGAGCGACTTCAATAGGTTGTTGAACACGACCTGTTGTACATGCCGTGCAGAAAGAAGGGAATATTTCGTATATGTTACTCAAGGAGTGTCATTTAAAACAATGCGATAGTCGCAGTCGCACGATGGTGTCACAAAGAACATGAACGCACCTTATCAGGCAGATGAGCCAATCGGGCCGCATTGAAGCCGTAACTTTTCGGACACGCTCCCGGAATGAACTTATACAGAAACGTGATATTCTCCAAACCTGGCTCGGTGTCTGATTGTTCTTCGACCATACATGCCTGATGCGGATTGAGTATGCGAACACAGAAAGGGTTAACGGAGAGAATTGGCGAGCCCCAAAGAATAATGAATACACAGAGGAAGCTCAATTATTTCCAAATAACCAATTGACATGTTGTGGAAGGAGAATTTCATTGTAGAAAGTTATACAGGCAATGCAATTTATCTGTGAGATTATGGCAAATAACGAGAAACGTTCTTTGAGTGTATATCAATAGACTTTCATTACGAACCATAACAGCACAAACGGCAGTGAAATGGAAATCATAAACAACCATAAGATTTGGATGAACGAACAAAATGCAGAAGAATCGATAGAACGGAGAACCAAAAAACAATGGCTGCTAGATTCCATCTCATTTCGGAAGTGAAGAGCAAAGAATGGGATCTCGAGAAGGTAAACGATGGACAGCCCCGTGATGTTCAACATCGAGGCAGATACGGTCATAGTGGCGGTTCCTAGAGCCAAGAACCTAGTTTCAAGTAATCACTGATAGCTCACTAAAAGAAATTGTTCTCACTTGATTTTGAACCCCAACATTTCCCATGTGCAGCTCGAATGGCTTGCTTCTTCAAGACCCGGGGATAATATAATCGGTTCAATTGTCTTCGTAAGTCAACAGGACTTCAGGATATAATCCATACCACGGTGTGGCGTGTAACACTCAAATTTCACGCAGCAGTTAAGCGAAGAATGCAAACACCAGTGAGGAAACCTGGACCGAAACTTGTACACCGGACAGTAGTGGTCCGGTGGTATTGATCGTCCACATATCATATCGCGGTTCTTGATTTCTAAGCCCACTACAGTCATTCTACTGCTAATTGTTGTTTGGCAGTCTTCAATCTGTCGGGATCCCCTCGTGATTAGTAATCGACTGCGAAAGACAGAGTGATATGGTTGAGTGTCCGAAATAGTGACGCTCTTGCATGCAGTAAACTTCTTCGCAGCCTTCGTCAACCGCAATTCTCTATTTTCACACTGACACTGCGCTTCCGATAGTCTAATGCTCCTTTGTCCAGATGGTTAACCAGAAGACAGTAACAAAAACCGACACATATGCAGAGTACATGGTTAATAGCTATATCCGGGGGCTATAACCGGGTTGGTGGACCACTGGTAGTTCACCTAGGGGAGTTGGCCAAAAACCCTGATTCCAAACCAACCAAGAGAAAGCGTACGAACCACACACAACTTCCTGATTGTGGCAGTGGTCACCGGCTCGATTGGGCATCGAGGTGTATTGGGCACCTTGGACGTTTGACCCGTCCAAAGGGCATATGATCCGATGAAATGGACCTCCGATGGATTGCGACTTTCACACACCGCCCCGCTGCCTTACGGGTCAGGCTTTGGCTAGTCGAAGGCTAAGGTTGTGGACTCCTCAAGAAAACTCATCTGCTTTCGCCTGGGCAACCTGACAGTATTCGACCCACATGCAAATCATGGAACGTGTTTCTTTATTATAAAGATTATTGTAGCGTGATTTGTTTGGCACAGTCTGCATTCAGACGTGTGAAAATATATACTGCCCCGAAGTGTCGAAAAGGTAGTTTGGGGGGATGACAATCCCTAAAGGGATATCACTTACAACAGATAGTGTATGTATTACAAACAAACGGATATATGCATTAAACATGAAGAATAAGAACGGATTTGCTAACACGGCTGCTATTCTGGTTAAAAATCAGTGAAACGTAGACGCTAACTTTGATCATATCCAATCATACCTGACTCGGTGGATAGTGTGCAAACATCGTTCGAAGACGTGAATGGTGTCCATCATCGGCGAACTGACCAAGCTAAAAATGGAAGTGAGAGAATTAACAAACAAACCCACCAAAATCATGCCATTAACTGCGTTAAGTAGGGCGACACCGAATTCATTCTCCTGATGAGTTTGACAGCCCCGTTCACATACGGCAATCAGATAACTGCAAGAGTCATCAGCTACGTCCTTCGCCGAAATGGTCTCTTCATCTATTTGTGCTACCTGACTCAGGTGGGACACCTCAGCACGATCGGTGGCGGTGCATGTCCCGGGGGTGAGTAATTGGCAGACCTCACGTCGAACAACTTTTTCGTGCGCAGGCCTTCCCCGAGTCCGTTCAGTCATCGCCTCAACTGACTCGGTTTGCTCCACGCGACCGACTTTATAACCCTGGAGACAGGAATAGCGACAAAGGCAGATTTACCTTATTCACTAATGCGTGTGCCATTCGAGGAAACGCCACCTCTGGAAAGCCACAGTGAGCAAAACTGCCACGCATGTAAACCAGACCCAATTCTTTCACTCCTATAGAAGCGTCCATATGATACATCTCGTAAAATTTTCCAACTTTGAATAATAGCACCACATCAGCGTAGCGGGTTTTCAGCTCCCACCATTGTCGCATTCCTGGTGACTGTTTCATCTAAGCAACCAATGAAGAAGAAAAGAATTATACCATAAATTCTTTTGGGACGAACAGCGTTCGAGGATCATATTCATCCGAATCCGGGCGTCGATGGAATGCGTCCATAATTTTATCCGGCCGTAAAAATGGTAAACTCAGATGATCCCATAACGTTGCTTCCTCCAAGTCCGTGTCAACAAAAGAATTTTGGACTGAGTTGTCCAAAGCTTCAGACACTTTTGACCTCAACTTAGGGGATGCCTCGTGAACTGTGACAGGCGTTTTCCCACGGTTTACAGAGGGTGATGAACAAGCAAAGGCTGACAAGTTTGTGCCCTCATGAGGTGGCCGCGTGTCATCAGGAGCCAATGAAGAACCATTCAATTTATCTAGAGGTTCAACTGGATCATCGATATTCTCCTCGTCACTTGAATCATATAAAATTCGCCTTCTTGGTCGAGTTGGCGTGTCAGTTTTCGAAGAGACCTAAAAATTTACAAATAACAAAAGCGACAAACTTGTTCTTCAGAAGCTCCATTGGAAACATGCGTATTACATTGCGATAGACGAGGAGTATTGTTAGATGCGGACGCCCTTTTCTCGGCACTTCCTGTCGAATTATTGCGAGAGAAAAACTTTAACAACGTCGGCTGCATTTTTGAAATGACCTTCAGGGATTACAATTATTATCTGTGACAGGTTTAAAGACTTGACCTCCAGTCCTGCCATCCTTCACAGAACGAATTAGGTCCCTTGTCAATCGAGCGTTCAGATTATTATGTTCTTGGTGAAGTCTTGCCAACGTCTGCTATCTCTCTATAAAACTCACGTGCGAATGTATCGCGAGTTCTGCATTCAATGTCCAGTTTACAGACGGAGAAAGCTCGTTGGCTTGTAGTTTTGCCTGTTTCTTGATCTATGCGATAAAGTC